CTGTGAATAAATGGGGCCAGGAGGAATATTGGAAATCTCATACACACACACACACACACACACACACGCTATAATATATGTGACTTTTATGTATACATGTAAGATAGCTTAAAAATATATATATATATATATATATATATATATATATAAAACATATATACTAAAGCCCATAGGTAAGCTGGAACAAAGGCAGTCCAGCAGGGGTTGGGCCCCAGGGAGAGAAGGTAGCCTCAAGGGGATTAGGAAGATTGGAGATTGGTTACATGGGTGGAGGACTTGAACAAGATATATTGAGGTAAATGGGAGTCAGAGTTTTTACTGTCCAGGAAAGGAGTTAAAAATAGGTAAAGAGGGACCTGTTTTTATTTATTGATTTATTTAAAGTTTACCCATTTATTTTGAGAGAGAGAGGGAGAAAGAGAGATTCCCAAGCTGGCTCTGTACTGCCAGTGCAGAACCCGACATGGGGCTTGAACTCATGACCTGCAAGATCATGACCTGAGCCAAAATCAAGAGTCAGACGCTTAAACAACTGAGCCACCCAGGCACCCCCCACTTTTTAAATAAAGTGTATTTTGAGAGAGAGAGGCAGAAAGAGAGAGAGAGAGAGTACCATCCTGTTTTTAAATACCAGTTTCCATCAAAGAAATCTTTGGAAAATGGCTTATCTCCAGGCTGAAGTGGAAGACACACAAGATAGGTCTGAAAGTATGGAAGTGTTCAGAGAAGAATGGTGGCTTGCCAGTGGACAGAGAAGCTAGCTTTCAGAGGCACCCAGTGGCTAAGGATGACAATTTGAACAAATACATGATGACAATAATGGATTTGCTCTCACTGAATAGGAATCTGCAAATCCATTTTGTTATAAATAATAAGTCATTATAGCAAAATGCCCATTAATAAAATACAGAAGGAATGCAGGAACTAGAAAATCACCATCTGGCAACTAACAGAGTAATAATTCAGAATTCAAGAAAGCAAAGAGCAGAGAGTTAATGGTGAATGAAGAACAAACTATGTAGGCTCAAAATATTACCTCTGCAAAATACTTAACATAAAGCTACATATTAATTATAAAGGGAAAGGATAACTTTATATTGGTAAAGCCTACTCAGATGATCAGTTAATTAATATCACCAGCATCCGGACAGACTGACTTCGTAAGCACCTCCTGGTAAGACACACTAAGAAGAGCATAGCATCACCTCTGTGATATTCCTGTCACAAAGGCATACTCTGAATCCAGTCATGAAGAAGCATGAAATTCCCAATGGAGGGAACTCTATAAAACAGTCACCTTGTTCTGGATTTGAATGAGTCTTGACAACTACTAGGAACATGTGATGGTGGTTTGAATACTTCAACCATAAAAGACATAATGGGGCAGCTGGCAAAATAAATAAAATTACCAACCTTTGTTCAAAAACTTTTATTTACTATAAAGACAAAACACCAAAATAGGTACAAATACTATAAAATTGGTTCAATGGGGTAAAAATTTTAATTAAAATATCTCGATATATTTAAAATAACAAAGGATACATTTAAGCCAAATTTTCTTAACCCAGAGATTTTTTTTTTTTTTTTTTTTTTTTTTTTTTTTTGTAACATTTGCTTACATAGTAAGGTGCTAATAGAAGTTAGCCCTTAAGCCCTGGAAGTCTTAGGAATCATAGTCACACAGCAAATATAATTTCATTGTGAAAGTGAACTTTGGTAGAAGAAAAATCTATAGGACACCTGAGGTAGTAGAACCTGGAATAAACAGCAGTAGACATTATTTACAACTTGAGTACCAAATAACATTAAGAACACAAAAATAATTACACAATACAATTTTCAGTCCAGCTTTGATCCAAAGAAAATAAGAATATTATATCACATTTGCATTGAAAACAAAACAAAAAACAAAACACCACAATTACCAGCAAGCTGAGGGAACTGCAAACAAACTCAAACAATGGATTTGGACATCTAGAGGCAGTTTGAGTTTGAAATGTGGTGGGCATGTGATCTACAAAGTAATACTGATTAGCTGAGGTTCCTCAGTTTATACAGTTTACATTTCTGTCAGACACAGTATTGATCTGACCAGTGATCTTCCAGTACATCAAATGGCAAGAGTGCATCTGTTAAAGCTTGCACATGAGAAACTTGGAAACAATCTTATTAGAGTTGTGAAAATTCTAAGTAGTCACACACAAAAGATAGAAAATAAAAAAGAAAGTCAAGTACAACACATGTAGAGCTACCAAACTTCACATTTCGGTACTATTTTTAACTCTTCAAATATTGCCAATCTTCCAAAACAAAGGAATGTAAAATTTCACTAAGAGACACATTCACATAGAAAAAAAACCAAAAAACAAAAACCCAAAAAACCAAAACTGTCTTCTAAAAATTATATGCAATATATCCCTGTAAACTTAACTTGTAACTTATTTTACTTCCAATTTGTGTTGTACATTTAAAATGTACTCTATATAGCTTATTTAGTTTATCCTGAGTCTTTGAGAATAACCAATTCTGTTTCATTCTGCAACAATTCAACTGGCGTCTGAAGAGTTAAAATTTAACATCTCAAAAAGCTGTATTAAATATTTAATCAGTACTTGATTTTAAAAGACTCACAAAAAAAGGATAAAAGAGCTGCCATTTTCCTTCTAGATTCCATGTATCTGAATTCCACTCAGATGAAAACCATTAGATAATTGTGCAAAATTCAAGGATTAGTAAGTGGAATCCATTTGACTTTTCTTTCTGAACACATTTTCAAAGTCCCAAGCAGATTTATTTTGTACAAACGCTATTATTAATAGTTGGGTCATTAGTTAATTTTTCTTTAATGGTCAGCCAGGCCTAGTGGAAAGAGATGATGCATGGTAGAAGGAAAATAGCAGTTTCATGTTATTATTAGCGGTGATGACGAATGATGGATTGTTACATACAAAGTAAGACTTCAATGGTGTGAAGTTTCCTACAAAAGAAACCAATACATTAAAAGAACTCAAATAAATTTCAAGGTAATCTTGATCTTGGTTGTGAGCTGCATCACAGAGAATAGTTGATTTTCACTGAATTTATATTTAACCTGCATGAAAAGAGCAGTGACTGACTCAATGAAGGTAGTATTTTATTATATTCCAATTTAAAAAAACAAAATTAATCTGTATTAAAAAAAACACTTGCAATAGCAAGATATTTAATAAACTCTAGTTCACATCTAGTTCTATTTTTTTTTTTTCTGGTTTGAAAAGATCACCTTTCCCTGAATATTAAACAAAAGTGAAGGTGAAATGAAAATATAGAACCATAATTTCCAAAAACGAAATGAATGGGCCAACAGTAAAATGCACAGTGAACCACAACTGCCCAGGCATTTAAAAAATAAAGGTCAACTGTGGTTCATAAAGAAGTCATCAACTTTTAAAAATATATTTATTTACTGCTACTTATAGCATATTCTGATCTAAAAGAGGCAGATACTGATTTATAGCCAGTGACAAAAAACTGAACGGAACTGCAGAACCCCCTGCCTGTGATCATGATATGAAATGGAAGAATAATTGAAACATTAAAATAGATCTGAGCCCCTCAGCTGCTAATATTGCTGAAAAAGTGCTCCAAAAAACCCCCAAAATATGCTGTTCATTAGTCATGCAAACTTCATTGCTTTTCTGTTTACCTATGGCCAGTTCTTTGAAAGGCACAGTTTATAGTGTCTGCACAAACTGTGGACTTTTGCATACTAAGCTTAGGTACAGATCATGATTTGTCAATCACATACTTAGGTAAGGGTTCCCACTGGTCTTGTTCATAGCTGTTTGTTGGCATGAAGGCCAGCAGATTATCAACGTGGTTCCCCACAAAAGTTTTTTTCTCTTGATGAGCATCCTGTCCCCATTATAGTTTGTGTAAATGGCTACCATGTAGTACGGAAGACTGGATGCTTCAGTAGCTCTCTTGACGGAGGTCTATCCTGAGGTTGAAGTTCCAAACACCGAAGAGCCACATCCCGTAAACCAGGAGACAAATGTGAAGGGATCGATGGAGCAGTAGTTGCACTTGCAATCTGTAAGAAAACCACCTGTGCTGAAACTTGCCACGATTGGAACTTCTGATGTATTAGTACATGTGCATAGATTTCAAAGCCTCTGTATGTGCATCCTGTACACAGGCACTGAGGCTACAGTGGATGGACTTCCTTCTGACAATCTGTGCAAAAACTCACCCGCTGGATGGGAGGCTTCCTTCAAGAACCTTCAAATTTTACGATTTTAGATTGATTAACTACATCCGGATCAGGTCGATCTATGGTTTTCCTTACTGTCTCAAATGAACAAGACTAAGTGCATCAAAATGGTCAGACAGGAAGAGTATTCAGTTTACTATATGCTTTACTCATATTCATTCTCCAGTATGGCTTTTGTGATCTTTGCTTCATCATGCATTTTCTAATAT